AGGTAGAAGTGCAGGTCAACCATGATCAACCCAACATCCCTGCCTCCCTAAGCCTTTGGATCCCTTCTAACTTCTTTGCCCCATTACCTGGAGGCCAGTGTTGAATCCAAGTCCAAGTCACCCAACCAAGACAGCTGTTAGAACCACCCCCAGCTGCACAAGCTACCCACTAAATCCAGAATCTCTAGTAAGTACCCTTGTACCAGTGACTTGCCCACCCTCACTGTTACACCCTTAGAACCCATTCCTGCATGGGTCCCCCAGGTTCTGACTGTACAAGGACTTCAGTGTTTAAGCCAGCCGTTTCAAATGAATAAAACTATTGAAAAAAAAGACCGTACCCTTTTATGTAATGATGTTTACTTTGAATTTATATTAGTTCACACAAACATTCCATCCATGCTTTTGTTCCGGCCCTCCGGTCCAGTTTAAGAACCCACTGTGGCCCTCGAGTCAAAAAGTTTGCCCACACCTGGTCTAAGCTGTTGCTCCTGGGCCAAAGGGAGCACCTGGCCCCTGGGCTTGCTGAGGTTTGGCCCGGGTTTTATGGGTGTGTGACAGCAGGGTGCTTGTGATGACTCTTGAGAAGGGACACTCTCAGGCTTCTTCCCCATTACGTCCGGGGTTTCAGGCACAGGAAGACTGGTGTTCTCCTCAGATGCTGCGAAGAAGGCTCAGAGCGAGGTGGGGTTTCAAGATCGAGTTTCTTCTGGTCCAGCCAGACAACCGCATTCGAAATTTCAAGATCTCACTGTTTACCAGTCAGCACCCTCACTTTCACATGAGGAGACTGGAATTCAACTATCATCAACCTGCAGCCTTAAATGCTGTGTCGTATTTTCAGTACTGTCAGCCCTGTGGCTGCGAGAACTGACTAGGGGGCTGTCACAGAAGTGCTCCAGTCCTCAGTGGTTTGAGCTGAGGTGGCAGACCTGAGCTCGTCCTTGCCTATCTGTAGGCACTCAAGGGCACTGCGGAGAATCTGCCCAAGGCCTATCTTTAGAACAGTCATCACTGCCAGAGCAGTGCTGCAGCCAGAGGGGCTCCTGGGGCTCGTGCTTCAGCTGCACCTCCTCACAGTAAACCCGTGACGGCCGGCAGTGAATAAACTGTCTACATTTGGTTCTCTGCCACCTTTGGTCTCTGTTTCCTGGGGTTTTGGAGGTGGGAGACCTGCATGACTGGTTTGGGATCCTGCCCCTTCAGTTCGATCAGTGGTTCTCAACCTTTTGTTGGCCATGCCCCACCTAAGCATCTCTAAAATCCTGATGCCCCCCCCCATATATTTCTTATTATTCAAAAAGTGAGTACCTATTCACGTGCCGCGGACTTCAGTCCCATCTCCGTGAGCCCGTCTCCTGGAACACTCTGCATACCAGTGCTGTACCAGTTTGGAGCCAATCAGGAGAGGGGGAAAAACCCAGTAATCTGAACAGGGAACATTTAATATAATTATTGACTTCAACAGCGAATTGAAGTGACGCAGGATTCACTGGTAAGGTGCCTTGGAATTTACTGGAAGTCACCTCTGGGGTGTGGTGGAGTCATTCACAGGAGGTAGCCCAGTGAAAGTATGCCTCTAGGAAACTGCCAGGTGGGGCAGGGTGGGGTTTCAGGGGAGGCTGCTGACACACACAGCCCTCCCCCACACAATGGAGAAGCCACCAGGGAGCTAGCGAGGCAGGAGCCTGCACACCTGAACAGGAACTAGGAAGCAAAAGCCTTGCTTCCTGCAAAGTCTCTCGAGCGCCTCCTACTGACAAGGCTTACGCCAGTTAGCAAAGGCAAAACATTTCAAAGGCCCAGATCAGTTTTCACAGCGCAGATAAAAAGTTGAATCTGCAGCTAAGTCAGTCAATAAGCCGGAACACCATAGGACTTGGGATGCTACTGGCATTTAGTATGGGCAAGGGGTGCTGTACCCTGCGGTGAGCTGACTAGTCCCACCCCGAACAACCATCCCTTTGGAATGCCAGGAGCACCCCCTACATCAGTAGGGAAACAGCACACCTAAATGAGGTTAATTTGAGGTCTCCACACAGTAGTGGGCAAAGAAGAGGCCACAAGAGAGAATGCAGCTCCCTGGGGCTACTTGCAGGGGAGAGTCCTACCTGCCCCAGGCCTGGCCAGGCAGGAAGTTCCTAGAACTACAAGTGTGTGGGAAGGGCTGCCTGACAGGACGACAGGAGCTGTGACCTTCAGTCCAGAGTGTAGCCAGTCCATGAGGTGGGGACCGCATGCTCTCCTTCCCCCTGACCTGCCAGTGCCACATCCCTCGTCCCACCCCAACCCCCACAGTGAGTGAGCCCAACTGGAAGCCAGAAGTAGAACTGTCAGAGACTCAACACAGCCCACTGAGATCCACCTGGATGGGAGGGGCTGTGACTAGGCGGGGATGGGGCTGGCTGTGTCCCCAGACTGCTGTTCTGGCCCCAACTTCAGGCCCTGGGCCCACTCAGCCCCCAGAACCTCACACCTGGGCAGCATCTCCTCCACCAAGATCTGAGTGAGGCCTGGGTTGGACACAGCAGGGAGGTCTGAGATGTCCAGCCTGCGGAGGTTCCTGAGGAAGCAAGAAGGGGGAAGGCCCGCATAAGGACAGCATCTGTGAGAGAGTGTATGGAGGGGGTGCAATGGCCCCCATTCAACCCCTAGCTTCTTAAAATAAACATCTTTAACTGTCTAGAGAATGCCCAAATCCACGAATCCACTGTGTTATTACAAACAGACACCTCTGGCTCCTATGATTCTATAACAGTGTAAATAGCATGGAGTTTTCATTAAAACCAAAAGAAAAACTAGGGAATCCTGTAATTCCCCCAGAGACTCACTGCCACTGCTCATCTGTGTTTGCCCACCAGACACTAGGCTTGTCATGGAGGCAGGGAGACAGGGAACTGCCTGACACTGCTCCCTCCCCACTTTCCCGTATGTGAGCTGGTGGGCTCGGCTGAGCTGAGGTCTTACTGGAGGTGATGGAGGCAGGCGAGGCCCCTTTCGGAGATTCGGGGGCAACCAGCCAGCGAGAGCTCCTGCAAAGAATTGGCCAGCTGGTGGAGGCGGCTGAGACACCAGTCATCCACATGGGGACAGCGCTGCAGCAACAGGGATTGCAGCTCCTTCAGGGCCACTGCAGGAGGGAGAGGGCAGATGGCACTGAGACCCCTCTGGAGCCCACCACGAAAGGGAAAATGCAGAGCCCTGCCCATCTCTGCCCCACCCACCCCACTCACAGAGGTTGTCCAGGCCTTCGTAGTTGATGGCACAGTCACTGGCATCCACCGCCTCTATAGGTACCGCCTGGAAACTCAACAACTGGCGAGGGGAGTAGCCATGCTCGGTGGACCGAATCCACTCTTTGCCCTGGAATCTGGAAAGAAGGTTCCAGGTGGGTACCCCACTTATCCCCAAGCCTCCAGCCTCCTGAGACCACTACCCAGCCCGTATAATACAATGATGGTACTGTGTCTGCTCTTGTTCTAAGGGGTATACACGTCTGGTCTCATTGGATCCCAAGATGATCCTATCAAATATGGAATGTTTGGCCAGTTTTCTGTACCTAGAAGCTGAGGGCTGGAGACATTACTGATAACATAAAAGAGCTACGATGTAAGAACCTTTCTAGATGGGCAAAAGTTGAGACATTTTCAGATACGTAAACCATTTCTAAGGAAGGTGCTGGGGGAAATGCACAAACCAAGTAAAAGTTTTAATGAGAACGAGAAGTAGATAAAGCCTACATGAATTTTGCTTTTCAAGCAAGAAGAAAAGGGCCCCAACCGGTTTGGCTCAGTGGATAGAGCGTCGGCCTGGGGACTGAAGGGTCCCAGGTTCATTCCGGTCAAGGGCATGTACCTGGGTTGCAGGCACATCCCCAGTGGGGAGTGTGCAGGAGGCAGCTGATCGATGTTTCTCTCTCATTGATGTTTCTGACTCTCTCTATCCCTCTCCCTTCCTCCCTGTAAAAAATCAATAAAATATATTACAAAAAAAAAAAAGGTGGTGGGAGGAATCTCCCAAAGGTTGGAGGAGGAAGAGGGAAGAGGAGAGAAAAGAAACTAGTGTTTATTGAACACATGTGCCATGCATTTACATTGCAAAATGTGTTTATAGGTTAGCTACAACTACCATTCCATGTTACAGATGACAAAACGGAAGCTTGGGACCAAGCCCCAAGGCCCAAGCCCCGGCCAGTATGGGGCAGAGGCTGGGGGACTCACGGGGAAGCCTGCCTGACTGAAGAGCCTGAGGTTAGAGAGCCCATCCTTGGCCTCCCCCATCCCTGTTTTGACACCTTTGCTGTCATACTTGATTGCTCCTCCCTGCTTCAGGACAAAATAGGCTCCTGCGATGTATGGGCCGTATTGTTTCTTGATGCCGGTGGAGGATCTGCCGAGAGAACAGTAGCTGAGGGTGAGGCCTGGGAGCACTGCACCCCTCACCATGGCCGTGCTGCTGACACGGTCAGAGTCCACAGTATCAGGACTGACGGGCACTCAGAGTCAGGCTGCAAATATTTACTGAGTGCCTATTAAATGCTGGGCACAGGGGGGCAGTGGTGACCAAGGGAGATAACTGTCCCTGCCCTTCTGAAGTTAATTTACAGGGAGAAGCAGTAATAAACGAGGAGAGCGAGTTGCAGGCAGTATCAACTCCAGGAGGAAAGTAGAACACAGGGACTGACTAGGAGTGGCTTGGGTCAGGGGTGGGGATGGAGAAGGCTAGTGTAGTTTGGCTGATAAGAAATTTTTCTTGGAGGTGGTGAAACTCGTGCAGAGATCTGAGTGGCAGGAAGGAATGCAGAGGTCAAGGCATGAGGCTGCCAGGCCAAGGGAACAGCTAGTGCAAAGCCCAGCAGCTCAAATTAGGACAGTTGAACAAACAGCAGTAAAGACACCATGTTGCAGGCGTGAGGAGAGTCCCTGGTAGGCGTCTCAAAGCTCAGCAGGTACCAGGTTTGGGGCTTTCGAGTTTGGCTTTCATTCTAGTTGCAATTGGAAACCATTTCAGGGTTTCAAGCAAAATGGCAATGTTCTCTACTTTCTAAAAAGCCCTTTGGCTGCTTTGTAACCTGTAAATAGACTGTAGGGGCAAACAGTGACCAGCTAGATGACTGCAGTAATCCCACCATAAAATGAAGTCTCTGCTCTGGCTACAAACAGTGAAGGAGGTGAGAACTGGTCAAATTTGAGATATTCTAGTATTTTATTGACCAACTGGATGTAGAGGGCAGAGAAACAGAGGACTCAGGGATGACTCCTTAGAATTTGGCCTGAACAGCAGGGTGGGCAGTGGTGCTATTTACTGGGATGGGGAAGGCTTGGAGGTAAGCAGGCCTTTTAGGGGGAAATCAAGCATTTGTTGTGAACCACGTTAGGTCTGAGGAGCCGGCTAGACCAAGAGACGATGGGCAGCAAGTTGCCTGCATGAACTGGAGTCCTTGGAAAGGGTATGAGCCATAGACGAAGACAGAAGTCGGCATGGCTAGTACTGGAAGCCACAGGACCACCTAGGAGTGGCAAGGGCAGGGTCTAGATTCTGACCAGTGAGGCAGAGCAGTAGGGTCTTGCAGGCCAGGGGTTCTCACCGATTTTCCTTGTGCACCTTTGACACCTGCTTTTGGAACAGGTACTGCCTTACGGCCTCCACATCATAGAAGCGGTCAGTCAGGAATTGGAGCAGCATCCTTCCCTTCCTCTGACTGCCCTCTGGGGTCACTGCACTGCTCAGACCACGGATACCGCTGGTCCCCAAATTCCATATGGGGGCCACCAGGTGCAGGGACTGGGGAAGAAGAGAGGAGAGGCTGAGCCTGGAGAGCCTCCTGTGAGACCGAGCTGCACCCCTCTGTTCTGTTCTTGGTTTATGAACCCGCCGCCCCCCCCCCACACCCCCACACACAAAATGTTCCTGATTCACTAAATTCTTTCAGAATCTCCCAATTCCGCATTTTGATTCCCAGATTTCCCTCCATGTTTTCCCCAAGTTCTTCCTGTTAACCCTAAATTGTCTCTCTGATTTAACCAAACATTCTTGGTTTTCCCAAATTCTCTATTTTCCCCTCAAATGCTTATTTTCTCTCAAAACCTCCATTATCTGACCTGTTAATTTCCCACAATTTCTTCCCTTAATTTTACCCAATTTTCCCTGGAGTATTCCTGAATAACCAAATTCTTTCCCCCAAATATAATCTTAATTTGTTTAGTTTGTTTCCAAACCACCCTCAAACTCTTCCTTCAACTTCTCTTCAAAGTCTTCTCTTAGCCTGCCCCCAACTTTTCTTTTTGCTTTAACCAACTTCTCTTTTTCCCCCAAAGCTTGCCCAAATCTTTATTTTCCCTCAAAATTCCTCATAAGCTCCCAACCTCTTATTTTAATTTTCTCTAACTTCATTGCTGCTTTTACCCAATTCTTTCCAAATTTTCTCCAAATACTGAAAACTTTCCACTTAATCCCCCCACGTATTTTCCTTGGAACACCCAGTTACCTCTTGGTTCCCCATCCCATCAACATCCCTTTGGTTTTCCATCAAAATTCCTCACTGTCCTAAGTTTCCCTTACTGGCTTTCTGTGGAGTCCTACCCTTCCAAACCCCCTCCTTTCACTCTCTCTTTTTTGTTTGTTAATCCTCACCCGAGGATATTTCCCCCCATTGTTTTAGAAAGAGTGGAAGGGAGATAGAGACTGGTTGCCTCCCTCGGGGTATCTGGCCAGCAACCCAGATTCATGCCCCTGGGAGAATCGAACCCGCGACCCTTCGGTGGGTGGGGAAACGCGCTACTTTATCCACTGAGCTACCGGCCAAGGCACAAGTCCCAATCTCGCCGGCCCATCGTCCCTCATCCCTGCCTCTGATTGGCTGGGTGCGCCCATCGGAACGCATTCTCTGCTCCTTTATTGGTTTCTTTCAACCAGTCCCCGCCCCCTCTTCTCGCTGAAGCTCCCCAGCGGCCTGCGACCACAGCGTCCTTCCCGGCCCCCAGCAGCCCCGTCTCCACTGCCAGCGCGAGGCCTGGGGGGGTCCTCCTGCTGCCCCGCGCCCCTCGCTGCCTGGCGCCGGCCGAGGCACTGAAGGCAGAGGCAGCCGAGCGGACTTCAATTTGGGGGTTCTAGGAACCCCGAGACCTACCGCCCTGGGCGCCGCCATCTTGCTGAGATTATGTAACCGGAAGGGGCCGGTCCTTTCTTGTCCCACCCACCTGGCTCTGTCTTCATGTTTTTTTATGGTTGCATTCTCTTCTTAAAGGCACACGCACTTTTTACTCGGGTTGAGAGATTGCCCTGCGTGCCCTCTCTGTAGACTTTATAATGGGACCTTCTCCGCTTTCCCGAGGGGAGCGTGGGCAGTGCTTCCTGTCAGAGCACCTTCCTTCCTGTGACTGCAGCCTCGGTTCCCTGAGCTCCCTCTTCTCCAGCTCTCACCCGCTACCTCCTTGCAATGATGTACCTCAAAAGCTGACCAGCGTTCTTTTTCCTGGTAGGGGAAGAGGTCGGAGTGGGTGGTGAGGTTAGACTTCAGGTAAGAGGCGGAGGTGAGATCTCAAGATTAGTATTGTGATGTGTTTGATTTCAGTTTGGAGCTCAGAGTGAAGCTTCAATGTGAAGACTTATGGATAGAATTATCCATCCATCCATCCATTCATTCCACAAATATTTACTGAGCAAGTACCATAGGGCAGGCACTGCCCTGGGTGCTGAGGTTACCGTGGTGAACAGGACAGACCCAGCCCCTTTCTCAGGGAGTCGACATTCCAGGCAAGGAGAGGATGGATAAGAGACATGAATAAGCAGCATACTTTCAGCTAATATTTGATAAGAGGCAAATAAACACAGGTCATATAATAGGGAGTGACCGTGGTAGGGTCATCGG